AAGATGGTCGATGAAGCCTCCATAGAGGAGATTTTCGAAGATATTGACATGAACGATGATTTCAAACTCGATGTGGACGAAGATTCGAAGAGCGAGTTGAAGCAAGAGACGCCGCATCAGTCAAAGGTAAGACGTTTAACGTCAATCGTGTGTTCTTCTGTAGTGTAAATAGCTTACCTTCGCCGTATATTGTAGGAGTTTTCCTTATAATACATCAGAAGGAAAGTTTATCACGAGTTATTAAGATGAAAAATTTAGTTTTCGTTACGCGATAGAATGTCGATAATATGCTTCTAAATATTGACATGCACAACATGATGGACGTTGTTGATGCTATGCCGACACGATACGCCGACACGATACGCCAGCACGATACGTCGACACGATACGCCGACACGATACATCAACACGATACGTCGATACGATACGTTGACACGATACGTCGACACGATACGCCGACACGATATGCTGACACGATATGCCAACACGATACGTTGACACGATACGTCGATACGATACGTTGACACGATACGTCGACACGATACTCCGACACGATATGCCGACACGATATGCCAACACGATACGTTGACACGATACGTCGACACGATACGCCGACACGATACATCAACACGATACATCAACACGATATGCCGACAGACGTCACATTACGTTGTGTTTTCGCCCGCAGCTGTCGCTGGAGACGCTTGCTGCCGGACAAGAGATCATCATGAGGCAGCTGAACGGCATGCAGTCAACCCTCAACCTGCTCGCAAATCGTTTCCTCGGCATGCCGGCAGCCGACGAGCAGGTATGAAGCCAGCGGTAACCGTGCGTTTACCGCATTACCAACGTACCAACATAACAGGAAGGTCACCAGTAGCATAGCTAATCTATTTTTCTTGGGAGGGGGGCAAGGCCATATACATGGTGTGTTCTGGGAAAATGACCGCCTTTGACTATCTATTGTATATTGTAAGGGGGGAAACTGCTCCTGTGCCCCCCCCCCTTGGCTAGCTACGGCCTTTTGCTGCATTACCAACATACCAACCTAACAGGGAGGTCAATGTATAACAGGATGGCCATACCATAACAAGTACCATAACAAGAGGGTCATACCATAACAAGAGGGTCATACCGTAAAAAGAGGGTCATACCATAACAAGAGGGTCATACCATAACAAGAGGGTCATACCATAAAAAGAGGGTCATACCATAACAAGAGGGTCATACCATAACAAGAGGGTCATACCATAACAAGAGGGCCATACCATAACAAGAGGGTCATACCGTAACAAGAGGGTCATACCATAACAAGAGGGTCATACCATAACAAGAGGATCATACCATAACAAGAGGGTCATACCATAACAAGAGGGCCATACCATAACAAGAGGGTCATACCGTAACAAGAGGGTCATACCATAACAAGAGGGTCATACCATAACAAGAGGGTCATACCGTAACAAGAGGGCCATACCATAACAAGAGGGCCATACCATAACAAGAGGGCCATACCATAACAAGAGGGCCATACCGTAACAAGAGGGCCATACTATAACAAGAGGGTCATACCATAACAAGAGGGTCATACCGTAACAAGAGGATCATACCATAACAAGAGGGTCATACCATAACAAGAGGGTCATACCATAACAAGAGGGTCATACCATAACAGGAAGGTTGGGACAATGTTGCATGGACGTGCGTGCGTCGGGCAGAGCTCAGGGTTAGGGTTCCCCTATACGTCCCTATTGTCAGAGTGCAGCTTTGCTATTGTCAGCCACACACGTTGTGCATGCTCTCAGCTCGTGTGTGAACACTGCTGCATGGTGATGGTAAAACATTGCTGGTTGAGAATTTCCACATCTTTACTTAATACATAATGTAATATACTTATATATAATCCCCTGAGGGATCTCCCATTATGTACTATTGATATAATCCTTGTATAATACTTGTATTCTTCTACTTAACATAATATAACAAACTTAAATAACTAATCATAATTATAATTAATAATAATGATAGGACGAATATTATGTCTTAGAATAATTATAATATTAGAATGTTCTATTATTTTGCCCGTGAGTAATGTTCTCTTGTCTCGATGGCAGGTCGTGACCTCTCTGCCGCTCGGCCAACCCGCGAAGGAAGAAGACAAGTTCATACGCGCCACTCCGGAGATCGGAGCCGCGAAAGTTGTGAGCAAAGACGCTGAGGCGCGGGCGGACGACGGCGCGACGCCGCAGCTGGCAAAGCGCCAACGCGCGCCGTCCCCCGAGATTGAGATCGTGCACGCGACCTCCGAGGTCAGGCAGGGGGCGCCACCCGCGGCATCGGGCGGCGGCGGCGGCGGCGCGCGGCTGGAGCATCGCGGGGCGATGATGGCGCCACCGTACGCCGCTCCCGACAAGGTGCCGATGAGACCGGAGATGTCTCTCGCTCCGCTGCAGCAGCAGCGGCACCACGGTGGCGCCCTCTCTCATGCATCCATGTCCGCCGCCATGAGCAGGGAGATGCACCAGCTGTCCGCGATGCATAGAGGGCCGGCAAACCCCGCGGTGAGTCGCGCGATATATTAGTCTATGCTGCGTTGGTATCCTAGAGGCTGCATATCTTCCGTTGACGTTACACTTATCTTTAATGTCCTCCTTGTGAAGGGCTTCGTGGCAGTATGCTACGCTAAGCCGCGAGGCTGTGTCATCGGTTAGAGTCACCGCGCTCTAGCGTCCGCATTACGGCTTCGCGAAACTCTGCAGCGTTCGGCCGCCGATCAGAACAAATTGAATCGTCAGAGAACTGAACGATCATCTTTTCTATGCGATTCCAGGTGGCGCCGGCATCGTGGAAGCCATCCCTGCAGCAACAGCAGCATCTTCAGGCTGGCGGCAGACTCCCGGTGGATGCCGCCAACAGGTTGGCGAGGCCCATGCCTGCGCACGGCGGCGGCGGCGGCGGCGGCGGCGGCATGAAGCGCCCCCAAGTGGTGGTCGTTGACACGTCGCTGTACAGCCATTACCCACGTGAGTGTGCTGCGGGTCCAGACGGGCGAATAAAATTTTTAATTACTCTCATCATTACCGCAACCACTTTGATGCTAGTTACTAGATCGCTTATAGATGGCTTATCGACATTGAAACTGACGATTGCATTCGCAATTAATTTTAAGACGACATGCAGGGGGCGGGCTGACGTATCGTCGCGGGGTCTCTTAGGAAATTCAGTAGTTAGTTTACGCAGTAATTTCTATTCTTATGGTGATCTTTCTGTGCTCCTGTGGGTACCTTACGGAACAATTTTTTGTATGTGTTTCAATGTATTTTGACTCCGGATATCACTTAAACAATAATTTTAGACTCATGATTCTCGTCATCTTTCAAGTCATTTTTTTAAACGTCGATGTCGATATCAGCGTGCTTACGTAGTGCTTATCGTTTGCAGTGCTGAAGCCTCTCGGTGCAGTCATCAGCAACCATGGTCGATGGCGAAACATGCCACCAGAGCGTGCTGCACGCCAGATGACACTGAACCTGGCGAGTCACTGCGTGTTTGGAGATGACGTGATGGCACAGTGCACGCTCAGCGGGTGGGGAGGTCGCCAGCAGCTACCACAGGATGGCATGGAACTCATCAAAAGTACGCACAAACTCTGATGTTATTGAATTATCAATATCATTATTATTATTATTATTGTTATACTATTGAATTATTATCATTATCATTCATGTTGTTATTAGTCTTAGTATTATTATTATTATTATTATTATTATTGTTAAATTCATGCTGTGTGATTAGTTTATAATATGAAGTATGCGATGTCTGGAATGTATGTCTGTAGGTAACATATTATAAGTGTGTGTGTGTGTGCGTGCGTGCGTGCGTGCGTGCTTGCGTGCGTGCGTGCGTGCGTGCGTGCGTGTGTGTGTGAATGGTCAAACTTGAGCTTTGATTCTGACGTGACGTATCTCCACTTCGTCGTTGCAGGCGTTGTGTCGCAGTACTTCCAAGGTTGCTTCACGTCGGACAAGTGGGAGAGCGTGTGGTCCCGGTGCGTCGAGAGCATTCGCGACAAGTGCAAGGGCCTGCGCAGCAAGGATAAATACAACAGGATGGGTCCGGAGCCGGGGCAGCCCGGGAGCGAGATGCTACCTCACGGCACCGCCTTGCACAGCGCCGCAAACATAAGAGCAGCAGATGCACAGATGGGGGTGCCGCCGATGGTCGGAAGAGCTGTGGATGGATGCAGGATGATGGAGGCACCGACTCCCGTTCTCTCTATAGCTGACGATGAGCCGCCGTTCATTCTAAAACCAGAGCCACAGTGGTTATAATTTACGTTATGCCACAATCTATTTTATGTATGTTCCGTATATAACCGTATGTTCATGCCAACGCAATGACCTTATATATCGATATGTATAAATATATGTATATGATATGATTACCTAATGTATTATTAAAAGCACTTGTATGGAGGTTATATATATGTGCATTTATATTTGTAGCACCAAATTAGACGACATGGAAAGAATTATTCGTGTGTTGTATGTATTTGCGTCCCTACTAGTTTGGGGGCATACATAAAATCAACATTTATCTGTTTAATATATTGTAAATAAATGCTAGAGCGATCATGAATACAACTTTTAGTTAGAAAAGTTGTATATAACCGATCATTTTACTAGTAAAATAAAAACGGATATCAATCAATAAGTATTGAAGAGTGAAACCAACGATATATGTGTGAATATTCCATTGAGGGTAATAATAAACTGTATTAAACACCATTATATGTTTTGTGTATAATAAACGATCTCAGTGCTGTTTGTGAATGGAAAACATTTGTGCGTCATGTTCTAACTGATCGTTTGAGAGCTAATCGAAGTATATATATACATAGTCTTACCTTCACATCACAGCAGCAGGGCGTGTCTGCGTCACACAACCCTGCAACCTCAACCTGCATGCGCGCTACGCCGCCGCCGCCATCGCAAATTTTAGCCAATCTCCGCTTGATCCCAGTGTGACCTCTTCGCATCGGCGGGAAATACTGAAACCGCGTTTTCGTTTTCTGTAAATGCAGAGCACGGCGTTGAGCGGCAACACGGACCTCACCGCACAACAGACGGCGCCACCGACGGTGGCACGGCCGCCGCCCGAGCATCTAGACAGGCGTACGCGCGGCGGGCCGCACGGACGGCGCCACCGTCGCGGCGCGGCGACAAACAAGAGGCCGTCGCGCCATCACCGACGCCCGAATTCCGATTCGTCGCTCAAACGTATAGCGGGTGCGGCGGCGGTGGCAGCGGCGGCGGCGGCGGGGCGGCGGGATGTGAGGATGAGGAGGAGTCGTCGTTAAGGAGCGGATGCAGCTGCAGCCTCATGGCGAGGCTGCGCACGATGCTGCGCAACCAGACGACGATGAATCACAACCAGATGGTCGCCATGGAGAAGCTCTGCTCGCTCGAACAACTCCTCGCCGGCAACCTTCGACCTCTCGACCCGCCACAGCCACCGCCGCCGACGGAGATTCCCATGGACACCAAGACCGCCGTCCCTCCCCCACGGGAGGAGGTGGCGCAGGCGTTGGTGTTGCCCGTGAGGAGGTCGAGCCGGCGAGCGAGGACCGGCAGGGGCGGCGGTCACCGGGACGCGCCGCGCAGCGACGACTACAGCAGCGGTGGGGGATATCACCTCGCGCTGCCCCCGCCGGACCTCACCCCGCGCTACGCCGCATCCCCGCCGGTCCTCGTACGCGTGAAGCAGGAGCCCGGCATCAACCTGCCCCCGCCGGGCCTCGCGCGACCCTACGACGACCCGCCCCCCGCGCTCGCGGCGGTTGCCACGGCGACGGCGGAGGCGGGGCAGCTGATGATGTCGCAGCGCGGGCCGCAGGTGATGGTGGGCGGCTCGGCGACCTTTATGATCCCGGTGGATGAGTACCGGCAGAAGGTGCTGCTGGGGTCCCGCGACGCGCCGACCTTCGTCATGCGGCTGCTGCGCGCGCTCGTGCCCCTCCACCGCCTCAAGGACATGAACTACAACGGCAGCCTCGGCTTCCGACGCATCCCGCCGGAGCTCATCGCCGTCATGGAGCGGCAGGCACAGCAGGAGTTTGACTCTCAGTTCCGCATCGGCCGCGACACGGGCATGGTCGATCGCATCAACATGGTGTGCCGCGACGCCAGGCGGCGCCACAAACGCAACTCTGTCCTCGGCGAGTAGGATGCGACGACGCCAGGCGGCGCCACAAACGCAACTCTGTCCTCAGCAAATAGGTCGCTACGGCAGCGGCGGCCGTTCACGGAATTACGTCTGCGATGTGGCGAAGCGAAGTCGATCGTTTGTCGTGGGAGGGAGAGGGTGCAGGTTTAGCGCAATTGTGATGTTTGTGGAATCGTCGTGGCGTGACGTGTTCCGTCCGTTATTGTTGTTGTTCCCCCTCCCTTCCCCCCCCCCGTTGCCGCACTGCTGCACGCCACTCACGGTGAAAGTGAATTACCCCAGGTTGGAATGGTCTCCCATTTTAATTGCCGCAAGTCAGAATTGCCGCTAGGCTTAAGAAGGAAGAATGGAAAGTTGAAATAAAATGGAAATACTGCAGAATTACTGCTGGGCTTAGCCGAATGAGCCGCTCTATAACTCGTTTATTTGCCTAACTTGAATGAACATTAAAGGAGAAGCAAAATTTATTGTATCTAATTTGATTTACGTGTGTGTGTGTGTGTTGTGTGTAAGATTTCTTCGCGACCGATAAATGCTGCTTCCGTGCGACATTTTGATGTGCAAAAAAATGCAGATTGTCACGTGCGAATGTACATGGTTTGGTCAATTGTTTTTGGTCGGGTTTGAATTCGATTCGACGAAAATCATGCATTACCGAACGTTTTTAGTTGCCGTGTTGTAACAAATCAATTATGAATAAAATACTAGTGCCACATTGTGTGAGTTTTTTCTAAATCCGAGTTTATTCCTGTTATCATTGCGACTGACTGTGCGCGGAAAATACATAAAAATAATTCTCGAAAACTAACTAATAACCCCAACACAAAATTTTTTGATGTGCGCGTTTTGCATGGACATCTAGACACGGAAAAAGAACAAAGGTCACAAACCCACCAATTGTTGTCTTTACCGACACAATAAACATTTTTGACATGCGCGTTAGTTTGCAAGGACAACAACACGCAGTGTCATCGTCACTATCCTGAATCACACGTACCACGTCACCTGCGCTTTATCTCGCCCCCCCATTAAATCGTCACTTAGTTCAATATACCTTCTCTTCAGCTTTGCACTGTCTCTCTCCAGGATCAGCACCTCTGCCTCTCGCCGCTGCTGCTCTCGCTCTTACACAAACTTATTTGCTGCTTACGTACAGGAGAGGCGGGCCGGCACGCGTGCAAGCGACGGCGTCGTCGCCGCGCCGACGCCGCGATACAGACGGGAGCCCTGCAGGTGGAGCTGCGAGCGAGTGGCGAGACCGCCGCCTGGCAGGCGCACGTGACGAGGCGTCTGCAGCATCTCGCCAGCAAGCTGGACGTGATCGGACTCGACGTCGCCGCCGCCGTCGCCGAGATGCGCGACGCCGTGCGCGGTAAGAGCCCGGCAGGGGGCGCCGCCGCTGCTGCCGACGCCGCGACGACGACTTACACGTTCGAGTTTCCGCAGCGCGACGACGACGACGACGACGACGACGCGGCGGGGGAGGGCGTGGCGGTCGGACGGCGGGCGGCGGCGGGCGACGAATCCGGACCCTCGGTCGCGACGAAGCGCGAAGCAGACGCCGACGCGCCGGCAGGTGGCGCCACCGACGGCGACGCCTCTTCCTCGCGTGCCCAGCAGCGCCCCCTGTCGGCCGATCCGTCGCGCGCGTCGTCGGGGGCAGGGAGCGGTGAGGACGCCTGCCCGCCGGGCGACCCCGCGTGTCGCGACGGGAAGGACGTCGCCGCGGCAACAGCGAGACTCGCAGACGTCGCCGCGGCAACAGCGAGAGTCGCCGACGCAGCAGCCGCGTCGCCCGGAAACGACGCCCTTCCCGCGGCGGCAGGTGTCGCCACTCGCGAGCACGTCGACAACCAACTCCAGGTTTACGAGCGGAGCGGAGCGATCAAACGTACGGCAGAGGGCAACCTGGTCGTGTCCGCGCACCCCGGCGCGCCCTACCCCGGCGCCCCCCAGTGGCAGCACCGTGGTTTCCCGCAGGATGGCGCCACCTCCTCCTCCCCCGCCGCCGCGGCGACCGGTGGCGACCCCGAGCTGTACGAGGCGGCGGCGAGCGGGTTCGGGCGTCCGCCGGCGCGCGCGTACGACGACCCCTACCGCGACCCCTACGCCTCGTCCGACCCCGAAGACTCGAGCGACTCCGAGGCGTGCATGATGGAAGCGGTACGCATCAAGCAGGAACCGTTCTTCGACGAACTCCTCGGCGCGGCATTCCCGGGCGCCGCCCCCGAGCGCGCGCTGGCGGCGGCGCCCCCCGACGACGGCGGCGCCATCTACCTCGGGCGCACGTGCGTCGCGATGCAGGCCAGCGACTACCAGGAGTGCGTGCGCAAGTCGAAGGACGGCAAGAGCCTCGTGCTGAAGATGATGGACTTTGTGTTCACGAAGACGGAGCTAGCGACGAGCAACCTGAGCGGGCGCACGAAGGACCCGGTGTCGCGGCAGCCGCAGCCGTGCAACGTGCTGGACGGCGAGCGGGTGAACGCGCTGTTCAGGCAGGCGCGCGAGGAATACCCGGGATTCATCGACGACATCGACGAGCTCAAGCAACTACGCGTCGCAGTCAACACCAAGTGCAGGCACACGCGCCTCAGCGTGTCTCAGTACCTGTAGGTGTGTGTCTCAGTGTGTCTCAATACCTGTAGGTGTGTCTGACTCTGTGTGTCTCAGTACCTGTAGGTGTGTGTGACTCTGTGTCTCAGTACCTGTAGGTGTGTCTGACTGTGTGTCTCAGTACCTGTAGGTGTGTCTGACTCAGTGTGTCTCAGTACCTGTAGGTGTGTCTGACTCTGTGTCTCAGTACCCATAGGTGTGCGTGACTCTGTGTCTCAGTACCTGTAGGTGTGTCTGACTCAGTGTGTCTCAGTACCTGTAGGTGTGTGTGACTCTGTGTCTCAGTACCTGTAGGTGTGTCTGACTCTGTGTCTCAGTACCTGTAGGTGTGCGCGACTCTGTCTCAGTACCTGTAGGTGTGTCTGACTCTGTCTCAGTACACGTAGGTGTGTCTGACTCAGTGTGTCTCAGTACCTGTAGGTGTGTCTGACTCTGTGTCTCAGTACCTGTAGGTGTGCGTGACTCTGTGTCTCAGTACCTGTAGGTGTGTCTGACTCTGTGTCTCAGTACACGTAGGTGTGTCTGACTCAGTGTGTCTCAGTACCTGTAGGTGTGCGTGACTCAGTGTGTCTCACTCAGTATCTGTAGGTGTGTGGACCTCTGTCTCAGTACATGTGGGTGCGCATGCCTCAGTGTCTCAGCGTCTCAACAACTCGTGTTCCGGTATCTGCGGCCCAGGCTCTCTCTCTACAGCTGTTTGTCAACTCAGGACCACCTATTGCCTTTCAACAACGTATTACACGAAAAGCACGACTTAATTATCCCAATGTAGACCGTCATTGAGGAAATAAATATATATGCACACCCTCACATACACTCACTGGCACGCACGCACGCATACATACACACTCACACAGTCGCAGGCGTATATGACGTTATGCATTACATTTCGTAAATATATAAGCTAGTGCAACTATAGAGACAAACCCGTTTATTTGAATATTAAATGCTTCGCAGGTTCACACATTTAAGAACAGTTCTAACCAGATAAAACAGAATAGTGGATCATTTATTTTATAAATTAACAAACATACTAGTAAAAAGTAAAGACGCTTATATTTGTTTTGTATATTAAGCTGTTGCCGAATGACCCCCAACTAACTGATAGCTCCAGCAAGGAATGCTTGTGAACTTTAAAGCTGCTTGCTATGATGGCAACGTTTGTTGCTATCTGTCAGCAGCACAGCATTCTGCAACGCATTATAAAAACCTTACATATTCTCGGTGGAATGTAAGTTTAGTGATATTGTAACATCGCGCAGTTGTACGTAACTCTAAGACTGGAATAATTCTAGCTAGGAAAATCTTCTGGGTCTCAGATATGTGCTATCGTATCGGGAGGGAATAAACATTTTGTTTTCATTTACTCCTGATGGTATTACCCATTGAAAATTTATAAACGTTTGTAATGATGGAATATAATTTTGTAAAAGAAAGCCTGTATATGAAATAAGTACTATTTTGATTTCAAGTTGATCACTTTTGTAATTACTGTACATGTGCTCAACGTGTGTGGGCAGTAGCATAAAGTGAATGCTGTGAAACACTGAAACTGGTTATTTACACATTAAAAATGATAGCACGTATAATGTAAAAGCTCCACGTATGCATTGCACACAAACTTCGTTAAGCAAAATGAAAGCCGACAGAAGACAAAAGTTTTGCAACAACAAACAACAACATCTTTATTTTAACATACCTATATATTTACACAGCAAAAAGCATCTTTCAACAAGCTTACTGCCTCCAGTCTACAAGGGCTGGTGATATTATAGAATGAAGACATGTATCATGCCTGCCACGGAAACTGTTTCATAGAAGACTTTGGAGAACTTAGAATGTCTATATATATTAACGAACTGTACCACTGCTGACAACACACAACATAAATACTGTTTAATTATTACACAACCTTGCATGATTTGCACACTGTCTGATGCTGTCGCATACGCCCTGTCTATAATAGCATGATACTGCGCCGAACAACATGCAAGGCAAATACTAAAGTTGACACAGGATTGGACCATCCATGCACTCTCATCACGTATACATAGTATTGCGTCGTGAACGTTTTATATGCAGCGTTTATTATTGTGAGCACGGGCAACGACGTTACATCATCGCTTCGTGATAACGCAGCATCCCTTCCCGCGTTAAGAAACAGTGGCTACACGTATGTCTATATTTACATATTGAGGTTACTGCGCATGAATTCGTACCCGTACGAGGTGCATTGTGGGAACCCAAGCCGCAGGCTCGACAGTGGACTCTGCAACTATGGCAACCTGGCATCCGCGCTCGCCATCTCCATGGTTACCGACGACGACGGTGACGAGGTCTGCTGCTCATGGTTACCGCGTCGTCAGATTCCCCGAGTCGTCGTTGCTGTACGTGCCATTCTGTAAGATAGACGACGGAGACTGTGAGAATTCGGTGACCTGCCGCATGCACCGATTACCAGTTACAGCCGTCATCACCCCTCCAAACATCGTAGGATCGCGCTATCATCGGATTAAATGACTCTTTAACAAACGGAAAGTAAGCAGAAACAATATGTGAACATTTAACAGATTGTGCACATCATCGTAGGATCGCGCTATCATCGGATTAAATGACTCTAACAAACGTTTAAATAACAAATAAACGAAAAGATGGGAACATTCAACAGTTTGTGCACATATGACTACTACCGGCGAGGTGTTTAGGTCTTTGTTGATTGCACAGCGAGAATGTTAAATGTATCCGTTCACAATGCAGCCCCATAGCGCCGTTGAGTCAGTTTCAAGACAGTGTCAAGGGCAAGGTTAGATACGGGCAATCGTCATCTAAAAAAGATAAAACAACATCGTAATTCAAACCAGCTAACTTCATCATCCTGTAACGCAAAGTTCACCTTACAACAATGCTACAGGTCTTAAGACTAATTATATTACAGACGAAAAAGTCAAGAAAACAACTATTCCATTATAAATCGCCCTTTACATCATGCAACATACATGTACTTATATATATATTTTCAATTACACGTAAGCCGGATTAGTGCATGTTGGAAGCAATATTGCACTTACCAATCTAATCTCAACCTTCCTGTTAGAGTTTAGCAAAAATCGTGATAAATAAAAATTGGTGGCAGACAAGTGCAAGGCAGAAAGTGCTAAGCACAGCCCCGACATGCAGATATTTTAGCCTCAAACGTGTGGCTAGTCGGGAATGATCGTTAGAATTAACTCAAGCAAGCAAATGCACATTGTCCGCGTAGATGTATTTCAACAACCATCGTAACGTGACCTAGAGAACGAAAGGCGTCAATATCATGAAATATCCTCAGGCAATATAACATTTGTAGACGCAGGCATAATTCCTAGAATTCCAGATTTTTGATTTTACCAGGTATACAGGGAGGGCAACAAGTGTGATTCAAAGATAGACAGGAGCCACGTGGGGCGAAAGTTGAAAAGAAAGGGAAAGCCACAGAGATGTGGTGGTGAAAGGGAGGACAGAAGAAAGAGAGGCGTTAGACAGCATTATCATTCATGCTTCACCCCTCTCCACTCTCCCCCTCCATCTCATCCTCCACCGCCTCCCAAGCCCCTCCTCTCTGTTCTCTGCCTCATCACCTTCCTGCCATTCTCTCATCTACCTCCACCTCTACTCCTCCCTTTCTGTCTGCGGCTCCTCCTCTCTTCACCCCTCTCTCTCTCTGCACTCATTTTCTTCTTCACCTTCTTGCCCCTCCTTGTCTCATGGTGCCTCGTGATATATTTTCTCCAGAATTCATAGGTCTACATTCAGGACATAAAGCCACTAATGAAGGTAAAGCTTAGCCACTGTGACCCAATTAACCAGAAGCAGATTCGATCCATATATATATATATATATATATTGTAGTGACCTCTGACCATTTTAAACTGCACTGGATCAATACACATCGGCAGAAACTAGCCAGAACCAGTTACTCAACATTACTATCCCAATAGCAAAGCCTCATCCACGTCCACGAACTAACAGCAAATCTATAGGAGAGCAAAGGTTTGGGTTTATAATAACCAGTATATATAGCAAAGGCCTATAACCAGACGGTTTTACATTCACCCCTGCTGATGGCTTTCAGGGAAGTTTGCAAGGTAGCAAATTGAAACGTACCACCAGTAAAACGACAATGAAAAACGCAACGTGCACCCCCTACAACATGGTATGTTACTCAACAAGATTCTATGCAGTGCTTATGAGGTTTGAATAAGTCATGCCTTGATACAAGGATGAGAGAAAAAAATATGTATGTGATCAAGAGCATATAACATGTTTATTTACATGCTCTTAATGTGAGGAGAAAACAACATGGGCAGATGAAGCTTACTTGAAAAGTCATACTACAGCGTTACAAATTGACACAAACTAAATATGACTTCCCGAGAAATCTGTGCCGACAAACACAACATTATGATAAAAACGAATAACCAGTTTCATAGTCATTCGTTTTTACTTGCTGTTGAATTGGCTTGCGTGCATGCATGCGAGCGTGTAAGAAATAAACAAAATTCTTTCAACATGACAACTATTCGCAGTATCAACTATCATCCAAACAATTCTACCAAACGTTTCCTACTGCGAACCTAGATGCTAGTTGTGAACAGAGGAACGTTACTGCGACCCCCCTCTCCCTCCATCCCTCCCACTCTACCTTCCCTGGTCAATACGCGAGGCAGAGAAGAAGGTACAAGAAGCCCAGCTGTGCGTGCCAGTAATCATGCAGCAATGCGAGACGCCAACAAACAATTAACAGTTGAAACAATTAACAGCCGTCGTCCTCGTTAACACGCATTCTGTAATCAGCTCCCTAGTGGACATGTAGCGGTTATGCGGACAAGTGTAGCGGTTATGCGGACAAGTGTAGCGGATACGTGAACAAGTGTAGGAACGGTTATGCGGACAAGCGTAGTGCAGAAGCCAAGCTATAGGCTGGTGCAATTCTCACGCCTGTGCTGTTTATGTGACCATGGATCGATCATGTGTCACGCTCCAAGCTCATCCCCAGTGCACCTCTCTCTCTCTCTCTCTCTCTCTCTCTCTCTCTCTCTCCCACAAACCCCAGGGGAAACTGAGCGGAAACCCAATGCAAATTTCCCAACTTTTAATAAAAAAACCCGCAATTCTCCTCCCCTCGCGTAACTCGAAGCACCGGAAATAAGTGAAGTGCATCTCACGTCAACATATTAAATAAATAATAAATAATAAATATATCGAGAGCTCCCGTTATCTCGCGGAGCTAACAAACAGCTAAGAGAGAGACGGCGGCCGGGGATTCGCTTAGAGTGCAGCGCGTAGTGTTTTAGGGTGGAGATGCCGCCTTCCTCCCCCCACGCGTGTGCACACGTACATTCTACAACAACTCCTGATGGTCGACACCATCAAAAGGGAAATCTATTTCCTCGACGACGCAGCCGTAGGCGAGAGGTGTCAGCTTGTAGAGGGTGTGCAGCGACACGCGCAAACATGGTAACTCGTCTGCAACAGAACCCACAATACTTCTGCCTGACGTCCGTCCGTCTGCCAGCGTGAAACCACCGTGCAGGCTGCACCGCTGCACCACCGCACACAGCATCCTACCCCCCCCCCTCCACCTACATCGTTACTCTACTCCATCCCAGCCTCTCCCGCCAATTATAGTACTTGTAATACTATAACATAGCCTTCTAAATCTGTACTTACTGGCCCTGGCGAGCACGCTGCCAATTGTAGCCTTTTCTCCTGACCCTTCTACCCTCCCAGCCCCACTGTTGTTGCTGTAACCAACACTAATACGTACCCTCCCCCACTGTAGCCTGCCTTACTGCTCCTGCTACCCTCCCAGCCCCACTGTAGTTGCTGTAACTAACACTAATACGTACCCTCCCCCACTGTAGCCTGCCTTACTGCTCCTGCTACCCTCCCAGCCCCACTGTAGTTGCTGTAACCAACACTAATACGTACCCTCCCCCACTGTAGCCTGCCTTACTGCTCCTGCTACCCTCCCAGCCCCACTGTAGTTGCTGTAACCAACACTAACACGTACCCTCCCCCACTGTAGCCTGCCTTACTGCTCCTGCTACCCTCCCAGCCCCACTGTAGTTGCTGTAACCAACACTAACACGTACCCTCCCCCACTGTAGCCTCCCCTACTGACCCTGCTATCCTCCCAGCCCCACTGTAGTTGCTGTAACCAACACTAATACGTACCCTCCCCCACTGCAGCCTGCCTTACTGCTCCTGCTACCTTCCCAGCCCCACTGTAGTTGCTGTAACTAACACTAATACGTACCCTCCCCCACTGTAGCCTCCCCTACTGACCCTGCTATCCTCCCAGCCCCACTGTAGTTGCTGTAACCAACACTAATATATACTCTGCCTGCT